TAAGATTCCCCAAGGGGGAACGACCTAAGACAGGCACGATCACCTTGGGAGGCCCCCCAAAAGAAGGACTTTGGGGGCTGCAGCAAAAAGGGGGTGATGGACCCTTGCTCCTTGGCTTTGACATAGCCTGAGTTCTCATCGTCTGGGAGAAAAACTCCTTATCTCTTGGTTGCCTTGGTTCCCGTGCTCCACCTAAGCCTGAAACAACGATAGGGTGGTGCAGCTCTGTGCTGAAAAGGGCGGATTCCCTGGGTGATCAGGCCTAAGAAAGAACATGTAAATTACTGTGAAACCTTCTTTGTTTAGAATGCTCTCAGTTGAATGAGAGGGGCAAGGAGGAAGTTAGTTTGTTCTTCAAAGTCTTACAGCTCTTTGACCCCAACTCAAAATAGACTGGCAGAGTTCCTTGTTTTCTATAGTTCCTTACTTCCCCCTAATGAGTACTGTACTTTACTTGAATTATTATGCAAAATGAGCCTAATAAAAGCAGGTATGGACCGTAAATCGGCACGCTCCTCACTAGAAGGGGTGGCCATTTTGTCCCTACTTCTCCACAGAAACTAGTTTGTCTCTGTGCATGTTTTTTCTCACGTGTTTTCGTCGAGCTATCCGCAGCGTTCCGTGATCACTGCTGGCTGGTGACCCACGCATCAGATAAAGGAGTTGTGCCTGGTCCTGGAAGAACACTATCACCAGCCATATCTACAAAGAATACTGGCTAGGTATGGGCAGGGCTTCAAGATCAAAGTCTTCTTTGTGTCCTATTGTCTCTGCATGGCATGGCTAACATTTGATTTTCCACCTCCACGTGAATTGCTTTCCTTCCCTTTGATGTCCCAGGCCTCTAACCCTTTCTCCTCAGCTCTGGATGGCTTCTAATTGCCTGACTGCCTGTGGGCCACATATTCTTATGGAGCTCCCACTCATACAAAATTAAATTTGATTTTTCTCCTATTAATCTGTCTCTTAGGCCAGCCAGAAGAACCTAGAAGGGTAGAAGGGAAAATTGCCCTCCCCAACAGGAAGATAGTCTGAGAAGGCCCAGATGGAATCAGAAAGACTAGGACAGAAGATATGAGGAATACACACATATTAAGTGTAGATGAAAATAAGGAGCTTTATAATGAATCTAACCAAAAATAACTTCACACGGTGATCTGATCATAAATTCCTAACTGGACAGTCATGATGGGTCATCAGAGCCCAGGCTGATAACTTTTTTAGTAAAAGGTTTTTAAGCAAGCCCTGTCCACTGCTCTTGTGCCTCTAGGCTAACATACCTTTGAAATGCCAGAAATAATTCTCTTTTCCAGTCCCCTCAAGGGGACCACATAACCACCCCCACAGGAGAACATAATTTTATTAATTATCCTGTACCTTGCTTTCTCCCACCTTCAAGTAATCTTCCTTATGTTCCTTCCATAATCCCAAATGTATAAAAGAAACTGTAAAACTGACATTCTCTGAAGCATTTAAGATCTTGGTTCCCGGCAATGTCGTCAGTTTGGCTCAGATAAACTCATAAATATTCTCCATAGGTTTGGGTGTTTCTTAACATAGACATAAGGAATCAGAATCATCAGAACTGACTATATGGATATGGAGGGAGTGAAAAAGAGGAGTGCTTCTTCCAGGTTTCAAGCTTGGGCAATTATTGATGCAGGAATGCAGGGGTTGCCAAATACTGTAATGAAAAAGGAAAAGGAGGATAAACAGGTTTAGGGAGAAATATAATGAGTTCAGTTTTGAAATATCGAGTTTGAGCGAGACATCCAGGAACTATCCGGGTAAATGAATGTGGAAATTGGCAGAGTTTGGCTTAGAGACACCTCATATTTCCAAGCCTATGTTATTATTTGCAGACCATTCTCAGGCTCTCTTTAGGCAACTGCTCCAAGTTCATACTTAAGTATGGTTTTTTCCCACCTGAATTGTCTACAAGTCTTACTTTCTTCCAATATATTTTGCAAAATGAAGATTGTCTGTTATACTTCTTACTTTAGTAACTAATTCCCTCCTCTTTCCAAAATGCTCTTGCATATTGGAGTTTTGGGTCTTTCTTGGGGTTCTTTGTATTGGCCATATGCTTAAGCACTCAGAGAAAAAGGGAGGGTTTTGTTCAGTTCCCTTTGCCAGTCATTTCTGTTTGGAATCTGAACTCAAAAGATTTAGAGTTTCTAGCTAAAAGAAATAGGGATTAACAGAAAACCATGGGTATAATCTTCAAAAGGAAAGAGAAACTTGGTTGCTACTGTTAAAAAACTAACAGGCTCAGCCCTGACTGATGTGGCTCAATGGATTTAATGCCAGCCTGTGAACCAAAGGGTTGCCAATTAGATCCCCTGTCAGGACACAAGCCTGGGTTGCAGGCCAGGTCCCCGGTAAGGGGTGTTTGAGAGGCAGCCACGTGTTGATGTTTCTCTCCTTCTCTTTCTCCCTCCTTTTCCCTCTCTCTAAAAAGAAATAAATGAAATCTTAAAAAAAAAACAAAAACCAAAAAACTAACAGGCCCATGATGGAGTCACTTTTGCTAAGCCACAGTACCAAAACAAAGTTAATAACTAACTAATCTAATTGCAGTTTTAGCCTCTCCCACATGTGGAATTTTAAACCAATCACCAATCAGTCTGGAATTTCCTGAGAAAACACTAGTGAGAAAAACTGCCTGATAAGACCCGCTTGCCTTCCTCTAACGCCCCTGCCAGAAATAATCCACTTTTTTAACTTCTTAGTCCCACCCTCTTTCTACCTATAAAAACTTACTATTTTGTACAATGGGTTGGAGCACCCTTCTAGTTGTTAGATGGGATGCTGCTCAATTCATAAATCACTTAATAAAGTCAATTAAATCTTCAAATTTAGTTGGTTGAACTATAAGAAAAGAGGTACTATGTATGATAAACTGGATATATTGTGCTCTGTCTGGAAGGTTAAGTTTTGCCGTGCATTGTTTTCTGTTACATTTCAATGGGGTAGTTTCAAATTTAGGTTTAAACTTATTTTTTCCCATTATAATTTTATTTACCTTAATGTGTATTCTAGGCTAAGTATTTGATGATAGGACAGTGGGCCCATAAGTGAAGTGTTATGCATAGAATACAAATAAAAGTTTATTTTACAAAGCGAAAGCTTTCACATTTCATAGTTCACTAGAAGGCTAAAGGAAAACTAGGTAATTTTTAAAAACCTACACAAAAATTTCACTTCCACTTCCTCCTATCCCCCAACTATATACTAAAATGGGTTATAACTCTTGGAGAGGCCACTGGGAAGGAGGATTGCTGAGTGGTTGGGACTTCAGGCCCATCACCATTATTTCAGATGAAATTCCAGAGCAACCTAATCTGTTTTATATAAGCTCTCATTGAAGAAGGGTTCAGGGGTTTTTTGAAGTGTGAAAACCACTCTGTTGTGCAACAGAGGGTATACAACATATAAAGAAATTAGTGACAGTCAAGGTCAGAGTGAAGGAAGAAAAGAAAGCTGATTAACAATTGATGGACATCTACCTAGTAGTAGGATGATAACTGAGGAAGTTTTCAGGCAACCGGCAGATGCACAGTAGCTAAATCCCTCAGCACTTCCAGGCAAATTCCTCACCTGAAGGACAAATACCATGGTTGGAAGCTTGGTTGGGAAGGAAGGAGATGTGATCGACATTGTAGAGGGCTAAGGCCCTCCAAGTCCTCTCTTAGAACCAAAATGAATGCACACGTGCATGTTTATGGAGACAGTCACAAAGGAGTTATGCCATGTGACAAGAGGAAATTGACAGCTGTGATGTCAGAAGCAATGAATTGTATAAAGTTCCTTATATGGACCACAATTTTTTGGCCAATATTTTTTCTATGTCTGGAACAACTTCCCTCCTTTTCCTCAATTAGCTAACCTCTATCTATTCTTCTATAACTCAACTCAAGCATTCTCTGGAACAAGAAGCCCAATAAAATTTGGATGGATAACCCTTCTTTGTGCTAAAAACACAATAATTCTAGTCCATTTCAATGCTAATTTTTGTCCCCCAAATCCTAGCTCCTTAGAGGAAATGCACGACATCTGATCGTGAATCTTCAAAGCTTAGCGCCACAATGAGTGCCTCATAAATATCTGTTTGGATGAATTAATTAACCCACAAGACTTATATCAGATTCCCTTAGTGCAATGCAGGTGGATTCTGTACAGGTACTTACGTGCACCCTTGACTCAGAAAACAGTTTTCAAAAGAAATGAAAACATGCCCATGCTTAAAGAATATGGAAGAGGTGAAAGATGTAATATTTTGAGATTCGTTTGTGTGTGTGAAGAAAGTGAGCAAGAGGGGATGGAATGTCTATCGAGTAAGAGATTAAGAGGCTTAAGGTGTCTCTAAAAACATGCCTGATATAATTCACAACTAATGTATTGCGATGTATGTATTGGGAGCGGGGCAGAAATGACACAAAATGATTCATTTTTTTTTGTATAGTGAAACAATGACCGCTATGTTGATTGGTATAAATAAGTAGTGTCTTGTATGAAAGTTGTTTTCCTGAACGCTTTTTCAAAAGTTCCCTCTTCTGCTGTCCTGTTTATGGTAAATCAAACCCATCCTCGTTCAAATCAGACAACATATGTTAAAATCTCTGCCTTGAAGTTCAAAGACGAATCTAGTGCTGTGGGCTGAGGTTGAGTCCCTTCCTGGGAAGTGGCGGTAAACCCGACTCCCCAACATTTCATGGGAGTTCAATGGTGCCGAGGCTGCAGGGGGCGAGCAGAAGCCCCCAGATCCAGCGAGTTTCCAAAAGAAGGAACCCAAGTCTCTAGCCACCCCTCGGGAAGAACGGTTTCCCTGGAGTCGCGCCAGGGGGAAGACCAAGGCGGTGGACAGAGCAGGACTCGGGGTCCCGACCACCCGCAATCCCTTTCACTACCTGGCGGCAATCCGGAAGCAGATGTGGGCTGCGTGACGCACTCGGGTTGCAGTTCCGGGTCGGCCAGCTCTAGATTTTCCACAGCAACGCCCCGCCCCCGCATTTCTGATCTGAGCGGGCTATGGCCAGCAGCTCTTGGGGACACATGGCCGAGGTGGACACTGGGACCGACCAGAGGCAGGTGAGATCCCGGAGGGGCACGGATCTTCACTCTAGGTTCAGTCTCACCTTTTCGTCAGGGGAGGTTTTTTCCATTGAGGGGCTCTATGCTTGGGGCCGCCCGCGGTTCCATTGCTAGCTGCGCTGTTTGCTCCACCGTGTTCCATTTTCACGGTTCTTATTCTTGGACGAGTGTTGTCATGCCTTCGCTCCAGTTCATCTGCAGTCTAAGCCGGCCAGGACGATGTCTTGGTCAACTGTCAGCATGCAACTGAACAGCTCAGGGTTGGAGACAGAAACCCGAGTTCTGCTCCCCGCCCCATCACCGCTGGGGCACCTTGGGCAAGCCACTTGAAAACCCTGGTTTCTGCCTTTGCAAAAACGTGCAATAATAACACAAGGCCTGGAACTCCAGTAGACCCGAGGGTCTACTGACTCATTTTCTCTTGGTATTGGCTTTTCTTTCGTGCGTAGCTCACGTGGGCGTCCTTAAAGCTTTTCCTTCAGAGCTATGAGGACAAACTGAGAGGATACAAAATTGAATGCATGGTTTGCTTCCCAGTTCACCCTCAGGCTGGGTTATTTTTCTTTTTTAACCCCAAACCGAAAGAATTACTTATGAAGTCTTTGATTACCAAAACCCCTCTAAACCAACCACCCACTCTCGTGCTCAAATCCAAATCCATATCCCAGAAGGAATATAGGGCTAGAGTGGGGGTGTGGATTACCTGTTGAAAAGATTGAGCAGAGAAGATGCGTTTATCCTTTCACTTGTGACTCATGTTCCAGAGTATTGGTGTACAGACATATCTTGCCTCAGTTGCGGTTGGAAATGCAGAGTGTAGTATAGTAGCAAGGCTGGTCCCAGTCATCGCAATAATGTCTGGCAACCACTAGAACACGGTGACTCGCTGCCAAGAGCCTTCGGTAGTGTTCATTCAGGTAACCTTCATCCAGATGAGTAATGTTAAAGGCAAATGCTTTATAAAGGAATAAAGAAAACTCAGGTCTTTAGCATATGTACATTTATTGACTTTTCTTCCTTATCAACTTCTTTCAGAATGAGGAAATTGAAGCAATGGCAGCTATATATGGCGAGGAATGGTGTGTCATTGATGATTGCGCCAAAATATTTTGTATTAGAATTAGCGACGATATAGATAACCCTAAATGGACACTTTGCTTGCAGGTATTTTTCCCCCTTCATTACAGTCATTTACCAGTTACACTATTGACTCTATATGATTGACTGCTATGGTATTATTCTAATGACTATTGTGTGACTTTTCTAAATTATCTTTTTTGTTGTTAGCTTTTGTTAACCATTGATTATCCAAACACAAGGGTAATTAAATCTCAGGTAGTCTCAGTTTTTCCTCTCAGTTTTAATTAAAGTATTCTTTTTTTAAGATTTTTATTTGTTTTTAGAGAGAGGGGAAGGAAGGGAGAAAGAAAGGGGGAGAAACGTCAATGTGTGGTTGCCTCTCATGTGGCCCCCACTGGGGACCTGGGCTGCAACCCAAGCATGTGTCCTGACTGGTAATCGAACCAGCGACTCTTTGGTTCACAGGTAGGTACTCAGTCCACTGAGCTACACCAGCCAGGGCTTAGACTATTCTTAATGTACCATTGATAGACTTGACTTCTACTTCCTTTCATTAGCCTGCCCATTTAATAGGAGAGGATCTAAACCTGGAAGATAGCTAACATTTAAGAGGAAGAATAGGTTAGTAATTTAGATGGTTCATAGAGTAGATACTCATTTCTCTATTAATTGAGAATCAGTTGTGGTTAGGATTAAGTAAATGAAAAGATCAATATGTTTTCCGTTTTAATGCTTATTCTTTGATCACTGCCTGTCCTTTCAACATTAGAGATGCTAAATTGAGTTTTTGTCAGTATTTGTTTTTATAGTACTATTTTGAAAAGAAAGCTGTGCCATTGTGTGTTAGCTGATAATGTATTTAACAGTATTTAATAGAATTTTTTTTTTTAGTATTCAGAAAAATCCCTGGAACATATTATAATGCCACTCCATTTATTTAGAGTTAGGGTATAATGATCCTATTTCAGTTTTTCTTTTCCTTCATCTTTGTCTTACTCACCCTTATTTTCTAGGTGATGCTACCCAATGAATATCCAGGTACAGCTCCACCTGTTTATCAACTGAAGTAAGCTCTACTTTCTACATTTATATTTTTATAAAAATTATACTTCTCAAGGATTGTTTCTCTATATTGTGTAATTGTGTTTATAAAAAAAACCTTTGTTGTCAAAATGTGTATAGAAATTAAAAATACCTTTTGGACTCAGTATACAGCATCTAAATAAAATTTAAATTCTGTGAAAATAGTGAAATGTATCACTTAGTATTTGCTGTAGAGATGGGGAGGGAACTTTACATGAATTAGTAATCTAGAAGCCGCGGCCCGTAGAGTTTCTCCTAACCTGGTTCTGCCTGGTTCTGCCTACTACAGTTCTTGGGCGTGCCTCTGCCTAAGATTGCCTGCCTCCCGTGGTGCTGCTGGTGCTTCTTCCTGCCATTGTTGAGAATCATTTCTCAGCAGCCAAAGCTTAATCTTAATGAGTCACGACCTGTTTGATTGCAAGTAACCTTTGATTAACGTTGCCTGCTAGACCCATTGTACTAAGATGTATAAACCTGTGTTAACAGAATTGCACTGAATTTCTATTACTAAATTTTTACCTATCAGTGGGATTGTTTTTAGTGTGAGTACTTTAAAACCATAGCAATAAAATTTGCTGTTAATAATGGGCCTGCATTTTAAATTTTTATTTATTAAAAATGATAGATGTAATTATAGAATGCTTGTAAACATAAATATCCTTTTCGTAAAAAGTTAAATTTTTTACAGTCCTGTGGCAATCAACTTATTAGAGTTGTTTTTTGAGACACCAGTTAGAATACATTGGGAATTGCTTACAGTGTGGCAAAAACTGTGAATCTGGAAATTTAGATTCTAGAACCTGTTCTACCACTTCTGTAAACTTGGGCAGTTTTATGACATCCTATGAACTCACCCCTGTTTTTTTAAATGATATTTTAATCGACTTATATTGATATTAGCTTCACCATGGTTTCTTGGGAGGACTAAATGAGTTAATGTCAATGAAAGCATTTTTGAACTGTATTGATTTAAGATAACATTTTATAAGGTAACATTTTAATGAAAATACATTATTTTTAAAAGTAAAATAAAACTAATTTGTGCCATAATCCATAATTTATATTTGAGATATAAACAAATCCTCAAATAATCTTCTTTGTTGTCTTTTTAAATTTTAGTGCTCCTTGGCTTAAAGGGCAAGAACGCACAGATTTATCTAATAGCCTTGAGGAAATATATATGTAAGTGACAAGTGATTAAAAAATTTTATTGGTGATTCTGTTTTAGCCTTTTGTTGGAACTGTTATATTTTGGGGCCTTACCCCAAATTTTTTTAAGCTATCTTTCCATTAACAAAAATTATACACTTGAAGAGTCCTTGAAAGATTGCTTATATAATTTTATATATTACATTTGCTATTTTAGGCTATGTTGAATGAAACTGATAACACCAGAGTCCTAAGCATAATTATTAAAATACTATATACTTTTAATGTGTGGAGTCTATTAAATATACTGTATTTTTTACTGTTTCATTAATTCAACAAATAGTATATAGCAGTCACTGTAGTAGATCCTGGATACACATAGTTAGCAAAGACAGAATGGTCCCTGTTTTCATGGCATTTAGAAATACTGGTAGGAGAGATATTACTTACAACGTTGTAAAACTGAATGTAAACCTGCAGCTGTGATAAGCTCTGTAGAAGAAGGATATTAATGTGTAGTACTAAATTTGAAACAAGATCTGACCTATTGTAGGAGGTTAGGGGTAGCTAATTTGACTTAACCACTGAATTACTTAAGTGAAGGTAACTCCAGTGAAAGGCCCCAGCATGTGCAAAGGCTCTGTATTAAGGAGCCTGACACATTTCAGTGCAAGCAGTGGTTGCATGAAGTGGGAAGAGAGAGGAAGGGAGAGAAGGGAGCATGGTGGGGGAATGACCTGGAGAGGTAGACAGGGAAGTCATACAGAGTTCTGTAGGCCACGTTAAAGATTTTTGTCTTTATCCTAATACCCAGGGAAGCAGAGAGGGGTCTTGAGGGGTGTGATGCCATGATACAAGATTTTCATTTTGAAAACATCTGTTTCTATGTGGAGATTAATTGGAAGAGAGCAGTAATAGATGTGGGACATCAGTTAGGTGGATGCAGTAGTCCAGAGAAGATATGTGTGATTTTGGATTAATTTTAATAAGATATATTAAGTTAGTAAGACATAATGCTCTGGAATATCAGTTTTACTATAACCCATGAATTGGTAAGTGTTGTTAGATTGTGCGAGAAATGGAGACTGGAGGAACTGGGTGATCTGATCTAAGTGCCTTTATCTGATGCTGTGCTGAGAGGTGGGCTGGTCAGGGTTGACTTCAGCACTGGGGGAAGGCAACAGTGGGATTTTTAAAAGAAAAAGTATGGGGTTTGTGAGGGGGTTGGAGAGGGGTTAGTCTCTTGTTCTTCCAGGTTGGTGCCTCAGAGTTCCAGGATGTGAGCTGGGACAATGGGTCCGTCTGGCCACTGGCTATTGTGACTGGTGCCAAGGTGTCTATTGTGTGTGGCGGGAGAGTTTCGGTTAGGCCTTGGGCTACCAAGCCAGTCAGGACAGCTGACTCATAGGCAGTCCAGAGGGTTGGAAACTGGGGCAACTGGGTCATTAGCAGTCTGGCAGTTGGCGGTCTGGCCTGACCCTTACAATAAAGATTGGCATCTGTGTTCTAGGTGGCTGCCCCATTTGGTACTCCTTTTCTATGCTTGGGATCTAGACCATGTTTCTTTTCCTCCCAAAATATTTGACTGAAAAATGATGTGATACTATTTATTTCTTCCTAGAGGAAGTATAGTCTTCCTTGAGTTCCCAGGTCTACAATAGACTCTGGAAATAACCAAGAATTGGGCTTTCCAATAGGGGATGCCATCTTTTAGTGATTCCATTACCCTCAGCATTTATGTATTTATTTCCTCAATTAAATGTTTCCTGATGCCTCTCTCTAACCTTATTGACTACCACAACTTTGGTGCCCCCGACAAACTTCTTTCTGTAATTCTTTATGATTATTTATCAATTTATCTCCCCTGTTAGAGTAAGGTAAACTGTATTGCAAATTTGTTCACCAACGATGTACTTGTTTTTCATTTTTTAGGACTTAATGTGGCCTTTGTAAATTGGCGGGGTTAAACACTTCCTCTTTCTTGAAAATCTTTCCCATACTTGGCTTCTGTCATGTTAGTCACATTCATCAAATTTTTCTGTTACCTGTGCACAATCTCATGCACTCTATTTTTTCTATCCAGAAAGTCCCTCCTTTGCTAAGAGATATGCTCCCATACAACAGAACTTACTGTTATCCCTATCTAGTTAAGTTGAGCTCTTTAAGAATTAGGAAGCATTAGTCCTGCTTGGTATAGCTCAGTGGATTGAGTGCTGGCCTGTGAATGAAAGGGTTGCTGGTTCGATTCCCAGTCAGAGCACATGCCTGGGTTGCAGACCTGGTCCCCCATAGGGGATGTGTGAGAGGCAAGCAGACACTGATGTTTCTCTCCCCCTTTCTCTCCCTTCCCCTCTTTCTAAAAATAAATAAATAAATAAAATCTTTAAGAAAAAAAGAATTAGGAAGCATCAAAAATTACAAAGTAGTTTTTCTAAAGATCGAGTATGGTTCATACTGTCTTCTTTACTAAAAGTGCTTGAATAACCAAAGCCCAGTGGTAGTATTTTTACACATGTGGTCTAAATAGAAATATGCATTCTGTTTTTAAAAGTTTTGGGTGACAACTTTGAACTGTATTTTTCCATAAAATTCCAGCAGGGGGCAGCTAGTGAAAAATATTGGTCTTCGAAAATTAAACATATAAGGTAAATGTATGAATAGAGTTCTTTAATGTTTATATTTTCATTATGTTCTAAATAGTTTAACTATGTAGATTTTCATATTAATTTATCATCATTTTGACTGTTAAACTTGATTTTTGCATAGATAGGAAGATGAATTACAGTTTGTTCTTATGTAGGGAGCTAAGAAGTCAGAAAATTTGTAGTTTCTTAGTTTCTTTGTAAACATTTATTGATTATCTCCTGTACGTTGACACTGATAGGTGTTTGGAATTAAATAAAATAAAAAATACGTGTACCAATACAGTATTGTGACATAATTACTGAGAAGTTTGGACCAAGTATAATAGCATTATTTAGAGGTTTTAGTAACTAAAATTAGTAACTGATATTTAGTAACTGATATTCTCTGGGCATTTGTAAAGGCGGGTTCCGTTGTGGAGGTGACTATTGAGCATAGTGTTTGCCGGGTGATTAAAAGAAGAAAGTTTCTGGCAGACGGAAAACCCATGAGCAAAGCACATAGGTGGGAAGCAAGCTGGCATCGTCAGAGTTCCACAAGTAGTTTTAGATACCAGGTGTATAAACTGAGGTAGGTATAAGAAGAAAACCGGTAAGCAGGGATAAGGAGTTTGGGCACTATCTTGTGGGCTCCAGGAGCTCTAAGCAGGGGAATGATTTAATCAGATTTGTGTTGCAGTGTGGAGTGTGGGCTGTAAAGAGTTTGAAGGAACAGCATAGGAGGAACAGTCAGTAACTCAGGAGGTGATAAAGACCTTTATTAAGGCAACAAGAATGCCAATGGAGAAACATGGTCAGTTAAAGAAGTACTTAAGAATATAAACTAGGCTTCGGTGATAGATTAAGTATTGATTAATTTGCTTATCATATCTTATTTTTGTGTAAATATTTTGCACGTGGATATTTTGAACATATGAAAATAATTATTTTAATACAACCAAAGGTAAATAACACTTTAAAATACTAGAACAATTGGTGTTAAGAGAAAATGAAAGGTATTAGAATTTTTTTATAGTATTTGAATTTATGGTGGTACATTTCAAAACACTGAATTTAAAATCCAAGAAAATGATCATTTTAAATTCTCATTGCTCTTCACATTTTGATGTATCATGGAGTCTTAGAGTTAAAAGTTGCAGAGCGAGGCTTGTCAAAACAATAATTGCACCAAAGTTACAGAGGCAAAGAAGACTCTTCAAGACTATTGTAATAGGGGAGAAGGGGAGAGCAGCCAGAACTCAGTCTGAACTCAACCTCTTGAAACCAAAGGGAGAAAGATTTTTAAGGACTAGGATGAGCTAGTAGGAAAGTACTGGAAGGGAGCTTGGTCAGTGAGATGTGTCTAGCAAATGAATTTTTTTGTTATTAGGCCGTCTGTGTTTGCTAATGATTGCTCAGCAGAAGTTAGGCTCCTGTCCTCTCAGAGGTGGGGAGATAGGGGCTCCATCTTCTTTGGTGATTACATCTCAAAAGGATGGCTCCCAGGTCCTTGAGAAAGACACGACGCCTTGGTTGTAAAACTGATGAGAGTCTTCTAAAAAGATACACATGTATCCTAAAGGAGCGAAGAGTTTAAAACAACTTGCCTAAAGAAAGGTTCTAAGAAAGGGGAGATCACGGCCTAGAGTTAGGTTCTGCCTGTCCAAAGTCAGTCAAGTTGAAGTTTTTGTTTTTGAAATCGTGTGACATCTTTGATTGCTTTCTCATCTTTACAATGAAGGTAATAGAATAATGTGAGGATTAAATGACATAATTCATGTAATGTGCTTCAGCACTATATAATAACAGTTCTCATTAAAAGAGTTGTCTCATCTAATTTTGTCATTTTAAAAATGAGATGATGGAAATTCAAAAGACATCAAGTGATTGGTCTAAGGTCCCTACCACTTAGTGCATTTCTCTATGCTTTTACCCTTATGTCAATAAATATGAACATTGGAAAATTAAAGATATACACATGTAAAAGTAGAGTCACAGATAACTTTGTTTTGATCATTGTGAATTGGGTAGTAGTTATTTAAATATAGTTTTTCACAAAATATCTCAACCAAATATCAGTTTCTAACCCAGCTTGGTCTTTTATTCAATCTGAAATAATTTTTGTTTCAGGCTTTTTATATTTAGCTACTTTACTGTAATTGAACTTCATAAATAAAAGCTTAATGTCTCACCCTGTAACGCGAGTAGTTCTCACCCTGTAATGAGTACTCCTCAGTTGTTGCACCCTGAGTGTCTTTGGGATTTAGCTGACTTCCTCTAGAACTGTTGGGGCAGTGCCTGAGCGGTAGAGGAGGAAGGGGTCCTAGCTTTTGTGTGTTTTGATTTGTTTCTAATTCTCCTGGAGGTTTCATTACAGCACTGGCAAAAGTTTGAAAACCAAATCCTAGTGGATAGATAAAAGATAAGAATAAACTACCATCACAAGAGAAAACACAAATACAACAGTAATTAACAACAAATATAAGAATAAACCACCATACCTGGTAGAATTTTGGTGTCCAAGGGAAAGAATAATTTTCATTTTCTTTAGAAAACCTTTCACACCCATTACAAATTCCCTACGCTAGGTGTCAGTGAGTCTCGTTAAGCACTGACGAAGAAGGGAAGCTCAGCCAGTGCTGTAGGGCAGAGGTGCTTGTTTATTATGCGGGAGGGCGTGACCAGGGGTGATTTGGAGTTAAGGGTTAACTTCTTTATTATTTGGAAATATTACTGTTACAGTTCCTCCGGGGTATATCTCCTCCCCCCTACCCCAAATCTGAATGTGAATGTATATTCACAGAAGGATGATTTTTCTCTCTCAGTGGGTGGCTGTAAGGATTAAGTGAATTAACAAAACATTGTTTACATGTCTTTTATATAGTAGGTGTTCAGTGAACACTAGATATTAGTATTACAACTTTTAGTGGTAATGATGTGAAGAATTCAATAGAATGAGATTAGGACATGGAGAGAATTACATGCAAAAGCATAAATTTGTAAGAATAATGATTACAAACACAAGTAAGGGACCCAGTTTTCTCCTTTACAGTGGTACCCCTAGGGCTGCCTTTACTACTCATTTATAGTTAAGGGCTCAGTGTAGGCCCTAAAAGATTTGTTGAGGCCCTTAAACATTTGGTGAATTAAGATAGGTTCATTTAAAAACAAACTACTATTGTAAAGTAAGAAAAGATGCTCTAAACTTCTCTTTCATAGATGAGTCTCACAGTTCAGGTGCTTACTGCCCTAAAGGCACTGCTGCTTGATGGGAGGGCTAACTGGAGTGGGCAACCTGGGCTTTGGAGTAAGTCTGCATTCACGTTCTAGCTATGAGCTTCTTATTGCTTAATAAGACTGTCTTAGTCAAGTTAACTGATCCCTCTAGGTCTGTTTTCTCATTTGTACAATGAGGAAATAATACCTACTTTATTAGACAATTATGAGTGTTAAATGTGTTGATACATACAATGTACTTTGGGCTTAATACCTACACAATTCATTTTACCTTTCCCTGTCTCTGTCCCTCTAAGTCTTATTGAGAAGAGAGGATGGGAGTGGGAATTGTTTAAAAACAAAACAAAACAACAACAATAACAACAACAAAAAAACAAAACCAAAAAACTCAGCCAATGTTCTCAAGGTTTTAAAAACATTTCCAGTTGACTTTTGCTTCCTCTAAAAAGACAAGTTACCAAAGAACACAGAGGATTATTTTAGTGGTTAGGAGTTACCGGCGAGATAGGGAGGGAGGGTTTGAATGATTTGAAGAGTATTGTTTTCTTCTGTATGTGTTTTTTTAAAGTTCTCTTTGGAGGGTGCTGATGAGTGGTGATAAAGAAAAGTAATGATTTCAAGTGAAGGTTTTAGAGGAAGTGGGTAAGGTGTTATGAAGTAGCATGGTGGTTTCTTTACATCTTATCTAAAATTAGTGTCATTCCGTAAAGAGTAGACACTCGGGCCTTTATTTCATTGCTGTTGCATTATTTAACATCACTCTGTGCACGTGAACCATGACACCTTCTTTTTCTCAATGATGCTTTGAGATGGATTCAGTTATCTGAGGCAGTCAGACATTATTTGGAACTGAAATGAATCAATTTGGGCAATGTAATGTTTTGTTAAAAATATGAATATAAACTTGTTGCATTGATTGATTGGTTTGTAAATTAGCTCTCTGAGGGAGTTCCTCAAATGTTGGAATTCTTTGTTGCAATAAGCACACCAAATAATAAATGTACCAAATATAAGTGGTTTGAATTGTCCAAAAATTTAGGAAAGCAAGCAATGATTGAACATCAACACTGAGAAACTAAATCGTATTTACACTTATGTAATTCATCCAGTTCAAGTTCATAAATTTTCTTTCTCTTCTTTGGTTGTAACACTTCTGCTTATTTTAAGTACTCAAGGTTAATTTTGAAGCCAGTTAGAATTGTTAATGTTGATATAAACTATATTAAATACTCATCCACAAATGTTAATAAATTTCATGTTTTTATAAATTTTTTAAAAGGCATGGCTAGATGCATATAATTTATTAGATTGTAAATATGTCTGTATTTTTTCGAATATGAGACGGAAATTTTTAAAAATAACTTTTTCTTCCCTGAATCTTGTTTAGGCAGAATATTGGTGAAAGTATTCTTTACCTGTGGGTGGAGAAAATAAGAGATGTTCTGATACAAAAATCTCAGATGACAGAACCAGGTAGGATTGGAAATATTATCAGTGCCATTTTAACTTACGGTGATTAAATTTTCACATGGATATTCTAATTGAAATCTTTAATGGAAATCTGTGTTCTGTTTTATGATTTACATATGATAAAATGTAAATATTTTGGAAAGTTCATTTATTCATGTACTCATGGTTCTTTGTATAAGGTTTAGCTTTTTTGGTTTAATATAGTCTTATAGAAATAGAATTTTATGATTAAAGAACTCAGATCAAAAAATTTCTGCTTTGACTATTGCTAAGCTAATATGTACCATGTAACATTCTTCATGAATTATTAGACTGTATAAGATAGGCATTAGCTTCAAATCAGTGTAATGTTTTTAGAAAAAGAACTTTGAAAAACATACTGACTGATTTAGGATATAAAAATTGACTTTGAAAATTGATTTTTTAATTGAGATGTAATTCACACGCTATAATTATTCACCCTATAAAAATGTATAATTGAGTGGTTTTCAGTATATTTCAAAGTTGTACAGCTATCACAACCATCTAATGTCAGGGCATTTGAAAGTTGATATTTTGCTCTATGATGATTATTATTTTATTGAATCATCAAGTGTATGACAACATGAAAATTTCTAATGTTTCCTATTAACTTTGTTACTGTTTTGTTTTACTTACCACTAAGACCTTTTAGAGGAAAGTAACTCTATTTAATCTAATTTTATTTCCAAAGAGTTTCATTGTTATCATTGATAGAATGGTTTTCAATTTGAAAAAATAGGGATTAAAAAAACCCATTTGTTTATTTATAAATGTTTTAGAAGGTTAGTTCAGAGAATCAGTTATTAGGATTCCTTTAGCCAGATCAATATACATTTAAAATTGATACATAATTTTTCAGAGCATTTTACTATTTTTCTATAAAAGCAGATGTTTTACTGTTTCCATTAAAATGAAAAAGTAAATGGTAATGAATGTATTTTTTCCATGTGACAATATTTTTTGAAGTATTTTTCTTAACTTTTTGTGATCCATCAGTGATTTTATAGCATTTCAGGGCATCTATGAGAAGAGTAGTCTCAAACAAAATTGATTTTTGCCAATCCACCATTCTAGAGTGTGGGATAATTACAAAAATGGAATGTATACCAGTAAAAATTTAGGACTCTTAAAAACGTTTGGGATCACTCAACTCTTACGAAATTTTAAAAAATTATTGATCTTGAAAATATTTTCCCTTTCCCACCTATATCCATAATTTAGTTTAGCCACTCTTCAAATTTTAGAGTTATTGATTTGTTTTATACAATTTATAATGTATAGAAATTTTGTTTGAAATGTTTTGTCAAAAATTGGTTTTGTAGACTTTATATTAAAAGGGAAGGATTAGTAATTCTGAAGAACTAATACAAGCTAGTGATCAGGATCTCTCCTGAGAATTTTCCTCCCTAGGGTAGACACTTGATAAGTAATTTATTTTGATTATAATGTTAATTGTCAGTAGAAATTTGTTGTTTATTTCATATTGTTTTTCTACTTTAGAAATATTAAATTTTGAAATAATTGTATACAACTACTAACAATTTATAAAAATTTGGAACTGATTTTAGAATTAAAGGAAAGTTGCAGAAATAGTACAAAGTCTCTCACTCTGCTTCCCCTGGTAACATCTTACATCACCACAGTATAATTGTCAAGAACAGGACTATAATATTAATTACAGAACTTACTCAAATTTCAGTAATTTTTATACTAAAGTTCTTTTGACTTTTGTAGGATCCTGTCCAGGATTCTATGGCACATTTAGTTGTTATTTCTTCTTATTTTCTTCTAGTCTTTAAACAGTTTCTCAGTTTTTTTTTCTGCTTTTTGTGACCTTTTATGACTTGACACTTTTGAATGGAGTGATCCACTGTTTTAGAGAATGGTCTTCAATTTGGGTTTGTCTTTTATTTTCTCGTGTAAGAGTAGGGTTAGGCATTTTGGCAAGAATACCACAAAAATGATACTGTGTTCCTCACAGTACATATCAAGGAGCTCATGATATCAGTGTGCTTTATTTTTGGTGATGTTCACCTTGATCTCTTGATTAAGGTTGTATGTGCCTGATGTCAGCACTGCAGTCATTGTATTAGTCAAGGTTTTCCAGAGAAACTGAACCAGTAGGGGGTGTGTGTGTGTGTGTGTGTGTGTGTGTATTTAAAGAGAGAAAGAGAAGGAAGAAGTCGGAGAATTGAGTTATTTTAGGGAATTGGCTCACCAGATTGGGGGGTTCTGACAAGTTCAAAATCTGCAAGGCAGGCTAAAGACCTTGGTAAGAATTGATGTTGCAGCTCAAGTCTGAAGATTCCCTTTTCCTCTGGGTAGGTCAGTCCTTTTCTATTAAGACCTTAACTGGATGAAGCTTATTCACATTACAGAGGGCAGTCTACTTTACTCAAAGTCAACTGATTTGAACTTGAATTCCATGTAAGAAATACCTTTACAGAAACATCTAGAATAGTACTTGATCAAATATCTGGGTACTGTGACCTAGCCAAATTGATGGTATAAATTCTGTTATCAAAATTACTATCTTTCACAAAAAAATATGGCCTAAAGGAAAGAACAGATCAAATCTCTAGAAAAAAATACAACTAAGCAATGAAAAGATAGCCAACCTATCAGATGCACAATTCAAAACACTGTAATCAATGTGCTCACAGAAATGGTTGACTATGGTCACAAAATACAGGAAGAAGTGAAGGCAGTGAAAAGTGAAATGAAGGAAAATGTACAGGGAACCAATAGTGAAGGGAAGGAAACTGGGACTCAAGTCAATGGTTTGGAACAGAAGGAAGAAATAAACGTTCAACCAGAACAGAATGAAGAAACAAGAATTCAAAAAAATGAGGAGAGGCTTAGGAACCTCTGAGACAACTTTAAATGTTCAAACATCGAAATCATAGGTGTTCCAGAAGGAGAAGAGGAAGAACAAGAAATTGAAAACTTATTTGAAAGAATAATGAAGGAGAACTTCCCTAATCTGGCAAAGGAAATAGACTTCCAGGAAGCTCAGAGAGTCCCAAAGAAGTTGGACCCAAGGAATCAGTCACCAAGGCACATCATAATTACATTACCCAAGATTAAAGATAAGGAGAAAATCTTAAAAGCAAGAGAAAAAGAGATAGTTACTTACAAATGAGTTCCCATAAGACTGTTAGCTGATTTCTGAAAAGAAACCTTGCAGTCAAGAAGGGCCCGGAAAGAAGTATTCCAAGTCATGAAAGTCAAGGACCTACATCCAAGACTACTCTATTGAGCAAAGCTTTCATTTAGAATGGAAGGGCAGATAAAATGCTTCTCAGATAAGGTCAAGTTAAAGGAGTTCATCATCACCAAACCCTTACTATATGAAATGTTAAAGAGACTTATCTAAGAAAAAGATAAAAAATATGAACAGTAAAATGACAACAAACTCACAACCATCAACAATTGAACCTAAAAAAACAAAAGCAAACTAAGTAAGCAACTAGAACAGGAATAGATTCACAGAAATAGAGATCACCTGGAGGGTTATCAGTGGGAAGGGGGAGCAGGGAGCGGGGAGAATGGGGGAAAAGGTACAGGGAATAAGAAGCATAATTGGTAGGTACAAAACAGAGAGGGGGAGGTTAAGAATAGAATGGGAAATGGAGAAGCCAAAGAACTTAATGTGTATGATGCATGGACATGAACTAAGGGGTGGGGGAGTAATGGTTGGGGGGTACAGGGTGGAGGGGAATAAAGGGGGGGTGGGACAACTGTAATAACATAATCAATAAAATTTATTTTAAAAAGAAAAAAACAAAAATTTACAATAAAGCTAAAAAAGATGACTGTCTTTCCCTTTATAGTTCATAAGTATCTTGGGAGTGATACTTTGAGGGTATGCTAGTATCCTATTCCATCTTAAACTTTTGCTCACTAATTTTAATACTCATTAGAGCATCTGGTCAACAATATTTATTACAGTATTTAGGTGTTTTCCTAATAGTGATAAACATTTAATTCTTTCCTTCTACATTTATTAATTGTAATTCTATTGTGAGGAAGAGATTTCTCTTTTCTCAGTTTATTTTTTATTATTTATTTATATTAGTATAAACTCACGTATTAATTTATTGCATGGAATAAAATTTCATACTATCATTATTTTGTTGCTCAAATTATTCCAGGTGTGGGCTTTAGGAGCTCCTTCAGGTAGGCTCCTGTGTTCTTTTGCTAGGCTTCCATCTTTTTTTGAACATTTTTTAAAATCTCTGAAATCACCAAATATCAAGGATCAATCTGTATTATCCTTGCTCCAACCTGGAATCAATCACTTTTTGTAGAATCCCTGGTTCCTTCTATTGAAGAATGATATTTAGAGACCAATATTAATAATTCTTAAGTATACCTTCTTACTGTCTTTATAGATCACTCATAATATTTCATATCCACATAGGCCCAGACGTAAAGAAGAAAACTGAAGAGGAAGATGCTGAATGTGAAGATGATATCCTTTCACCATGTCCACCTGTTAAAGCATTGAATTTGGGTAGTAGTGAAAATCGAGCAGGTATAATATTACTAACTAGTTTCTTTTGAGGAAAGTGGGATAGTAGCATTATGAATTGTTTTTGGAATGGCTTAGCAATTTAGTAAACTCCCACATGTTAGGAAATAATTATTCATTTGCAGAAAATTGAGTTAATTTTTTTCTTCCCTGCTGGCCATTTTGGTGTTTGCTGGGTCTATCAGAATGGTGAGGAAAAAATAGATTTCATTTATATTTTTAGAGGTTTTTTTTTTTTTGCTCCTTTCTAGATTTTTGAATTAGTAATGGGAGAAATTGAAACTAAGAAAAGCTGTGTTTTCAATTCACATTTTAATTCACATATATTTATGTTTTGAAGCTCTCAGTTGTCTCCTGATTTCTCAGAGTTAAATTTTAGTCTATACTAACAAAATAAATACCATAATTGAAAGTGCAAGGCTAGTAAAATGTCTTTAAGATTTTAGTTTTTGCTTAAGCAAATTTATTTCATAATATAGTGCTATTCAACTTATGAAAGGTAAACCAGCTCTATGTTAATACCAAAAAATACATCCCATTTTAGTATTTTAAAATTTTGAATGATATCGTCAGTTTCCTCGAGTCTCTTACAAAAATATGATAGACCAAAGGGAACATTCTATTTGATGGTAAGGAGTTTCCTGTGCCATTATACTGTAGCTTTTAACCAGTACTGTGAAGGTTTAAAGTTCTTGCATGGTGTCTCAGGACTAGGGGAAGGGGATGAAGAGGGGTGAGAGAGTGGCGAGGGGATCCAGGACTCCTACTCCTGCTTCAGTCTAAGTGGCTTCCATTTTATTCATTTATATCTTTGTAGATTTGGCATAGCCTTCTTTTGGGAAACAGGAGCCACTACTAAAAGAGTGAAGATCACAGTCATAATAAGTGTCATCCATTTTAGATTGCCCTTAGTGTACTGTACTAGTACAGTAGTAACAATCTGTTCAAGAACAGGACACTATCGGGGGACAGGTAAAACATTCCACATAAACCTGTATTTTTGTGCTAGTCCTGCCACAAACCAGTGCAGTGATTTTGGGCAAGTTGGTTAAGGCTCTTCAGAAATATTTTTACATGTGTTAGTTGAAGTATTTCATCAATTGTAAGGCAAGCTGGCTTGATAAGATTCAACAGATCAGTGAATAGAAATAGGTACAAATTTTAATTATTTTTTTCCTGAATAACTTTTCATCCTAAATGATGTAGGTGCAGCAACCAGGATGGTTGGTAAGTTTCTCCTTTTTTAAAAAATTGAATTTATTGGGGTGACATTGGTTAATTAAATTATATAGGTTGCAGTAATACATTTCTATAATACACATCTGTGTATTGTATTGTATTGTGTGTTCACCTCGCCAAGTCAAGTCTCCTTCCATCACTATTTATCCCCCTTTACCCTCTTCTACCTCCCCCTACCTCTGTTATGGTTGGTAAGTTTCTCATCAGAGTTGAGGGTAAATTAGTGGTTCTTAAACTTGTTGAAGGGGCAGAATAACTGGAAATCACAATACCCCATGGAATACCAATTTGGTGTATTATTGATATATTTAATTGAATCCTATGAAGTAGGAACAGTTTTAATAGCAGAATACATTTTATTATAGTTATATGAAATAAAGTTATAAGTTTCCCAACCCTGAACTCCATCAACAATAAAATGGATAAATAAATTATTGTATATTAGCAGCTGTCAATCTTTTTCATCTCAAGACCCCTTAATACTCTTAAAAATTAGTCATGTCAACTTATACTGCTGCAACAATCCCGGATTTGAGTCCCAACCCACCACTTTCACTGAGTGATCTTGGCAGGTGAAAATCACTTATAAGTCAAGTAGGTTTATGTGCAATATATTTGGAAACCTTTTCTTAAAATTATAACATCATTTTAATGGTTAACTATTAATTGCCAATTTGGGTTGATTTGCCATGTAATTTACATTTCTTTCTGAAATGTCCCCCTCCACACATATCATTGCCAATTGGTTTAGTATTTGAATGTATGAATTTTAAAAATAAAAGTAATATAACTCTTTAAATTTATAGAAAGAGAAGAATTACCTCCGATTGATCATGGTGTTCCTATCACAGACCGACGAAGCACTTTTCAGGCACATTTGGCTCCAGTGGTTTGTCCCAAACAGGTAGAGTTGCCGTGTCCAGCTCATGTTGATGCTGTTTTACCAAAGTTATCCAAGTAAATGGTTTTTGCAACAATATCCTTATTTTTACTGTTACTAATAGTTTAATTTTGATTTACTATAAAAACTATTTGCTCATTTTGCTACCCCCAAGTCACTGTGAATCATGGTAGATTTGTTCTGTTTTTGTCTTTCACTTCTTTTAAAATTGTATCTAAACTCTGATTAGGGCTTAACCTTCTAATAGATTTTGAAACAAGAAAATTACTATGTTTAATAGTTTGTTGAATTATTTGTCCTATATAATGGGTGTTCTAGAAAACCAAGTATGTTCCACGGTTGCCCAGTGAAGGGGGTGGTGGACAGGCTGGCTGAGCTCATTCTTCCCCCCTGAATTCCTTTTCCTTTCTGCTTCCTAGTCTTATGTGACTTGATTTCCACCAAAGGATATCAAATGGGAGACTTTTCATTTAAAAACTGTATTCTTCAGTCTTTCTTATTCTCTCTTCAGCAGAATCATTTTCTTCTCCCTTGCTGCTGTAATCTGGCCTAATTTAAACTTTATTGATATAAGGGACAATTTCAATACTACCTATAAAGTTAAATGAACAAAAATACAAAATCTCACTAACTTAGGTAGGTGATAAGGATTGGTCTCTTCCCTTTGGTCTTACAGCTACTCTAAGTTCTTCCGAAGTCCTGACCTGCAGGGATACAGTTCTTTGCGCCAGGCTTCCCTTTCACCCTCTCTTTTAGTCTCGGGAAGAGGCAGTTCTTTTCTTCATTGACGCGTGGTCAAGAGAACAGCTTTTGGTGCAGACTTCTGGGCTTTTCTCTCAGGAACCCTGTTTCACTCTTGGCCCTTTTCCCCTAATCTTATTGTCAGGGTCCTTCGTAGACATTCTGTTCTGAATCTGTTCAGCCTGGATCCTCTTTCTATTTTTTATTACAGTCACTTAGACTTAAAGGATCATAATCCACAAGAGCTGAAATAAATCTTAGAGGTCAGTGTCAATTTTGTTGATCAGAAAACTGAGCACCTTAAAGGTTAAAAAATGATAAACATAAAATTTCATAGTTTCTGATCGAAACTGGTCTCCCTCACTCCAACTCAGTCTTCCCTGCTTCCAGTATTTCTTCCACACTCCTTACCAGTTCCCTTTCTACATGATCTGACCGTGTGTCTTCCATCCCCCCCTCATGTAATCCTGGCAGGTTCCCATTGTCTAGGAGGAAAAAATCTAACAGTAGTACACAGTGTCCTTTGTGCTATGTCCCTGGCCTGATGGTTACTTCATGAAACTTTCTTTTTTATGCCCTTGCTGGGGTTGCTAGATAAAATCCAGGATAGCTAGTTAAATTGAATTGGATTTCAGATGGACATTATTACATGGGACATACTTACAATGAAAAATTATTTGTGATTTGTCTAAAATTTCACTTTAACTAAACATTCTTTATTTTTAATCTGGTACATCTGCATATGCTCTTTCCTCTGAATGTAATTGCTTCTTCCTCTCCCCCCACCCCCATGCCTTTCAATGCAGAAAAGTTGCCACTTCTCTTTCAAGGTTTGGCTCATGCTATTTCCTCTATCAACCTTACATGACTCCCAGAGAGTTTTAGTTTTATAACACTTGGAACATCCATTATTGTGTAACTGTCATACTGGATAGATAAATTTGGTAAATTTTCAGAGCTCATTTTTAGAAGTTTTCATATTTACATTTAAAATTACCTATGTGGGGAAAAAATATTTTATGTCCAAGAACTATAGGCATGTTTAGTGTTAAAATATTTGTTGACAGTTGATATTTAGAAACCAGGTCTTTCATTTTTATATCAATTGTGAGTACCAGCTTCTGCCCCCAAAATGAGGAGAAAACTTTGGAAATGGTTTTTTCAGAGTGAAGAAGATTCTTTAAATATCTTTCAATAACACAGTACTTAAATCAACATGCTTTAAGATATCTTTCTGGTATTTATTTATAGAGAAAATTAAAAGTATACGTTTATTTGCTGCTGTTTTTAAGGTGAAAACGGTTCTTGCCAAATTGTATGAGAATAAGAAGATAGCCAGTGCCACCCACAACATCTACGCGTACCGGTGAGTGACCGCCGCCGCTGTGGGAATGTGCGCTTTGTGGGCAACGGGACACAGTCATGTGTTGGAAACTGCAGCAAAGGAAAAAACGAGAGGGAAAATCAGCCATTTCGTACCATTAAATGTAACCAATAATATTTTGATATATTTTCTGTCTTTTTTATGCAAAGTTTATCTTTTCAATGCTTTACCCTAGTATAGTATTTTTTTCTTAATTTACAAAAGCATTTTTCCATGATATTATAATTTGTAAACATTACTTTAATGGTTGTATGATATTTGTTTGGGGCTCTAAACTATAATTTATTTAACCATTCCCTTTTTGTTTTAGTTTTTCATATTTTTCACTATAATAAAGAATAGTTTTGGGAATATCTTTGTTTGTTTTTTATTTTTTAGATCATTTCCTCAGGATAGGTTCTGGTTGCTTCAGATTCTTTTCTGAACTGAAATGGAGTATAAAAAATAGATTCCTAGAAGTAAAATTATCAAAAAGTATGAACATTTCTGAAACTGATACATATGCTGATTTTTTCCATTTTTTTCTTTTAAACCAATTTATGCTTCCATTAGCAATGAATTAAGGGTGCTGCTTTACTACATGCATTTTACTTTTGAGTATTACAGTTTTATACAGATTTTTGCTGATTTGTCAGTAAAGAGGTAAAGGGTCTATTTTTAGGTATGCAAATTAATAGACTTAAAAGAACATAGTTTAGGACTGAAATAAATCAGAATATAAACAGGGATTTTGTATAAATTTAAAATGTGATTGAGATTATTTATATAATCTAAGTTATTTAAAACTCAAAAAAAATCCATCATTTTGGATAAATGAGTTTTTAATATTACTAAGTCACATCTCTTTAAATGCTACAACTTAAAAAAAAAACAAACTATTGTTATATAGTTCCCTAGTATCACAGGTCAGAATTTTGATGTTTTCTCATGATTTTGGGTCATCAGTATAAAAATGAGGAATTAGATTGTGCTTGCTCTCAGTGCTTAGAATGTGCTGCATTAACAGTTGCCATTCCTTTGTCCCACATGTTTACTGAGTGCCTGCTCTGTGCCTGGCACTTTACAGAAGTCAATGCTGATTATTTCAGCAACTCCGCCACTATAGAAAGGTTGGCTTTTTCAAGATCACATAGTTGTTAAGTGGTAGAGCTGAATTTGATAATCTAATTTCATTTATCTCTATTTTATTCCTACATGGCTGTGAGTCTGCACCTTCAACAATCGCTGTACATAATATTGATTTTAAATTATCAAAAAATTAAATAATGTGCCGGATATTCTATTTCAAGCCCCAGATTTTTGGGTCTTTAAGTTCTTGTGAGTATTTTTGTCCTTTTGCATATTAATAGATGATCACCTGTCACTGCTCACACATGTCAGCATGACTACATGTAGCAGTCCCTCCACCTCACTGCCTTCGTATTTGGCACTTGGCAGTGAAAGATGGCCTTGTCAGAATTGTGTCAGATACGACTAAAAAGACACAAAGTAGAGGCGTGAAAGACCGAGTTGGGAGTAAAATAAATGACCTTCATTTGGTATGTGGACTCTGTGTTCTGTAGATATAGGGTCCGGCACAAATAACGCCCCTCTCTTATTGCAAAATCTTTGTTACAAAATCATAAGCATGTAATTCTGTAACATCACCATATCATACTCAAGCACACCATGTGACATTTTAGATAAAGTGTTCAAATTAAAACTATAAATTATTACACCCACATTATTACCCTACCACACTCAAGCAGGTGTTACTTTTGCCAGACCCTGTATTCTGAATGCTTAGGGTCCTTTCAAGGTTAGTTCTGGGCTTTGGGGTAGTGTTCCTGCTTTACAGCTGGGGGACCCCCTTCAGGCTACTGGTATACAACAGCTATCAGTGCCACATCATTCTCTCTGGCATGTGTGAAAACGTCTATGGTGTTTCATTTTTTTTTTTTTTAAACCTAACAGTACTGATTTATACAGTCAAATTTTCTTTACTTGTTCCATAAAATTATAGTATTAAATTATAATCCTACATATAATTATATAATAATATAAGTAATGAGAATTATTTATAGATAAATTATGTATAAGTATATAATTTAGATATAAAGCCTAATATAAATATATATTTATATGACATAAATATATATTCATATATATAATGCCTAATGTAAACCAGCCACTGACTCCTTTTTGCCTTAACTTTGCCATATAAAATTATGTTTAATAATACTAATTTTTCTTCAAATGAGGTCAACTTTAAACAATAATAGAGTCTGATCATAGTGAGCAGGTGGTAAATATTTATTGAGTGCATGAATGATAGATGGATTGGTAGATAGAAAGATGAATGAATGAATGAATGAATGAATATGATTCCTATAATAAAATTATTATAATTGACGTAGGTGTATTGATAAAGTAGTGTCTGGCTTTTTACAGCCATAGCCGTAAAGGTAGCTTTGCTGTGTCTGCTCAGTGCTAGGAGATGGCGCTGTCGGCAGAGGCCCACGGGATCTGCTGTATGGCACACCTTCACTGGCAGTGTGTTCTTTTCACACTGGCGTTTACCTGTCAAGCTCATTGTCCTATAACGTAGCCCTACATTATTATTCCTAACGCTGACTTTCTAGATAACTTAAATGGGTAAAAGTACCAGGCTTACCTTTATTGATAACTATTCAGGGAAAATTACAGAGAAAAAGAAATCTTAAAATTCTTACTCAAAATGGGAAAGATAGAAAAATCCTTGATGACTAGTATAAGATGTAAGGAAAGTATAAAATATTAACTTCTGTTGGTTTTATCACCTCCATCTTTTTTATATACTTTTTGTCTCTTTCACTAGATCTTAGGGTCTTTGAAGACAGGAGTATGCCACTTTTTTCTTTTTTATCATTTCATAGTGCCTATTATGTATAATGCATCTACATGATTTACTCTTAAATGTTGTTCAGTGACTTCTCTCTATAACCTCAAAGCTTCAGGTTAAATGTGTAAATTCACCTTCTCATAAATTGCACCATTTCTTGTTTTAGGGCGACACTCTTGATTCCTAGCTTTTCCAAATATAAAAAGTGAAGCATCCTAGACAGTACATTATCAGTGAAAATATATATAATAAATATATAGTTCAAGAAGGATTTTTTTAAAGCAGATAATGCAGATTTGGGGAGTAAATTGTTTGCAACTAGTGTGAAGGAGTAACTTGTATTACTATATTCTGAGGTTTCAGAGAATAACACTATTATATGTATTTCTAGAATATATTGTGAGGATAAACAGACCTTCTTACAGGACTACGAAGACGACGGGGAAACAGCGGCTGGTGGACGTCTTCTCCATCTCATGGAGGTAAGTGTAACTGAAACCCTGGTAATCCTGCGCTATGAGCCATAACATTTCTCAACAAAACAGAGCTCCACTGGGAAACAAGTAAATCAGTTAGACTATGTAACATGGGATATATTTGGTTTAATTAGTAGTTAATTTTTAAACACTGACAGAGAAAATTTTAACTATTGGGTATGTGGCAGAAAGCAAATGTGCTTTCAAGCTCTTTCAGTGATAGACTATAGAGGATTGTCTGTAGCTTTGGAAAACTTTTTTTATTTTTAATTTTTTACAGTTTCCTCCCCTTTATTTTCTCCATTCTGTCTTTGTGAAATTCCCATTAGTTGGCTATTGGACCATCTGGATAGATCCAGAATGTTACTTTTTTTTATTAAGTTGTCCATCTCATTGCATTACGTTCTGAGACATTTTCTTGATTGTCTCCTAAAATTTCTATTAAATTAAAAAAAATATTAGCAGCCATGTATTTAGTTGTCAAGAATTCTTTTGTGTTTTCTATTTTTCTTTTTCCTAGTGGGCTGTTCTGGTTTATGGATGCAATATCTCTTACAATTTCCTGATTATACTAATTCGTGTTTTGTTTTTTTTAAGATGTTCTTTTAGATTTTTTCTGGTTCATTTTAGTTTGTTTACCTTGTCCTTTCTCTTTCATGCTGCTGGATTTTCTTCATCTGTCTGGTGATCATTGTCCATTAATTTTAAGAATGGATTATTATTTTTTCTAAGGTAGTTGCTACAGTTTCTTCTGCTATTGTATGCGGAGGTTGGTTTGCTAACTTGATAGGAACTCTGCGTGTGGGTCAGGCCTGTAGGCTGGTGGGCTTCACACTAAGGGCAGCATCTGACAGATGTCAAACAAAAGAAGACCTTACTGGTAGGCAGCAGCCCCTGTTCTCTGTAGTAGTTTGTTTAGACACAGGGTTCATGGTGTTTGGCCTAAGGTTAAAGGTTACCAAAACAGCTTTTCTGGTTGAAGTCACCAAGAATCGGAACCCTACCTGCATGATCTCCCCTTCACTCTGCCCTGTTGCCCCAAAGTTTGGAACTTGAGGACACTGTGGAGCATAATGTTTGTTTTCCCAAGTCCCTTCTCATTTATAAAACTCGGTCCCCTGAATTGTTAGTAGTCTCACTGCACTCACTCACGCAGTTCTGCCAATAAGATTGCAAGGAATTTTTATGTGTGATTTTATAGATTTGCTTCATTTGCCTTTAAAACTCAGTTTGTACATGTCTATCTGTATATCTAATTATGCTTCTGAAAATAACAGATTCTGAATGTGAGAAATGTCCTTGTGGTAGTTTCACGCTGGTATGGAGGGGTTCTGCTCGGACCAGATCGCTTCAAACATATCAACAACTGTGCCAGAAACATACTGGTGGAGAAGAAATACACAAATCCACCGGTAAGTGGTTCTTGATGTTATACCTAGAGAGTTTCTCACCACTGTCTGTGAACTTAAAAAAAGAAAAAGTTAAGAACGAATCAGAATTTATGTGGTGCATTAGAAAAACCTTTGGCCTAGGAAACTAGAAAAAGGTTTTAGTTAAAACCATGCGACTGGCCGGTTGTGTGACCTTGGATAGATGGCTTCATTTCCTCAGACCTTAATTTAATTTCAGAGATTCATAGAGTTTCATATGAACCTTAAAGACCAGTTAGTTTCCCTAAAATTGAGGCCCAGAGAAGTTACAGCTAATGCTACAGTAAACTAGATGTTCTTTAAACTGCTATAAAATTCTGACATTTTCTATTACTCTTAAAGCATCTCCTCTTTCCCTGACACACCTTTAGCTGCCTTCTTCCTTTATATCTTGAGGGGTATTTTTTGGTTTGTATTTTAGAACTATGTTCATTTCTATTGTATTTAAACCTTGATGCTTTACTTTAGAAAGTGGACAGTAGATTAAAAGTATGTAGGCATAAATCTATGCGATAAATGAGTATTTTCCTTGATTATCCTTGAGTGTTTTGTAGATATAAAATAGACCATAAATGAAAGTGTCCTATAAAATAGAAGGATGATACATATGGAAGTAATTATACTGTCACTATTATACATCTTCTATATGATTAGATTTAATGTTCCTAAGCCAGTCTCTTCTTGTAAATGGGGAGATACTACACTGATTTTTATCTTTTTTCAGGAGGAATCATCTAAGGCTTTTGGAAAGAACAAAAAAGTAAGAAAGGACAAGAAGAGGAGTGAGCATTAATATATGAAAGTATATGAAAGGTTAATTTGCCTATGATTACATACAAATTCCACACTCATCAAAGAACGTACTGTGCAGAGGGCATCCTGGACTGCTCCAGTTAGCCACTTCATCACGGACACCACCGTTATATTCTCTTCTTTGGTCATATCATCTGCCAAAATAGAGAACTCGTGATGTATTCATGTGTGTTTCAGGCTGACTCGGAAGACTTCATTTGAACTAATCACCACTTTACCTAATTTTAGGAAGGTAACAGTTGCCCAGGGCAGTACCTGAATTAACTGTCCATTTCAGTACGTGTCAAGTGCCTTTGTTAGGGGGGAAGAAATGTCTCTGGAGGAATATAAATATCTGATTTCTTGTCATCAGGGTTCTCATTTTGTTAAATGAATATGGCCTTTTACTGCTCTTTATGGCTTATTGGAATAGGAGCTCACTGAAGATTGATCTTGGAGAGTTTCTTCTTGTGATTTTAGTTCAGAAGTGTGTCACCTTTCATGTTATAGTGTTCCATCACTGAGCAGTGCATCGAGTGAAGTTTCAGGAGTTTCCATCTGCAGCTATGTGCTGAAGTCATTCATCCAGCGTATTTGCTAGCATAAGTGGTGTACCTCAGTTTTTGTCGCAGATTAGTGATTGTGAAATTTTGAAAAGTGGTTTTTCTAGCCTCTAGTTTTTTTGTTTAGTTCTTGTAATGTAAAGCAGTAAATGTGGAGTGTCAGTAGTCTCCTCCCTCCCCTAAAATGTGTTGGTGTAATATCCTGGCTTCCTTTATCAGCCTGGAAGTACCTTTCCTGTGCTCTTCACTGAGGAATTAGAACTGTGCAGAAGCTAGGCTGTGGTCAATGAAACATACATGGGATGGAGGTGGCGGAACAGCACTGGTGTGGGCCGGGGTGTGCTGTGCTGTTATGGAAATGTGATGCACATTTCCATCTGCATTCCAGCCATCTTTCTCAATGCCATGACTTTGTGCAGAGAAGGAGCAAACCTTTGATTGGAAAAACAAAGAAAATTCCATTTCCCCACTATTATCAAATGTACCTTTCCACCAGTGTTTCATGTTCTTTCTTGCATCTGCAAGTTGTGTGCTTTGCCTCTAGGCACCTAGACGGTAAATTTGCCTTGCAGTATAACAAGTCATTACCTGTTCCCTCTCAGATGTGATCACAAACAATTTTTAAAAGTGAATCTGTCACCGATTCCTGGGATTCCCTTCCAAAGACAGGGAGCCGAAATTAGGAGTCAGCTTGCAGTGGTGCTGGAGTTGGATAGCATCAGAGAAAAAAACTCAACACCCTTACACAGTATTTTTAATAAGAATTTCGTGAATACTTGCACACTAGGATGGATCCTGAGAAATCTGTATTTGTTGTGTGTTCAAGGTTGCCAGTTGAGAAGTGTCATCAGAAGATGTGTTTAGGACACTTAACCTCAGATTCCATGGGAAATTATGTCCAATATTGACTTAAAATAATTGAGTTTAAAAACCATTAATTAAAATAATTTCACAACTTTGGCATATCAAACCTATGATAGAAGATATAAAACAGTAAGAATTTGGTGCTGCAGAAACATAAATGAGTTCATTTTACTGCATCACCAAATTTGTATTTCTTTGGCTGTTTTATCTAAGATTTATTTAAGTCTTTATAGAAAATTTTTTATAACTGGGATCTCATTTTTCTTTATTTTAAAAACATCTTATTTTTGCTTTTTTTCTACAAAATTATTAACCACATTCTCCTGACTGAGAAACCTAATCATGCCTCATCTTTGCCCAAAGTCAGTCAGTTAATAAGTGAAGTCTAAAAGTCTCTGATTCTGGAACCCTAGTTACTTCACACGCTCATTTATAGACACATTATTAGTGTCTATAAATAGTTACTGTTTTTTCTCTATTTAAAATTTATATCGAGAGGATTTTCAAATCCTCCAAATAATTTTCTATAGGCAAGTACCATATTTTGCCATGTATAATGTCCACTTTTTTGCCCAAAGTTTCAAGGGAAAAATAAGGATGTGCGTTATACCTGAAATACCTTGTATCTGTTCTTGTATTTTGTTATTATTTGTTACATAAAACTTTTTGTACCATAAAGTGTTCAACAATAAATGCTAAAGTTCCTTTATAATACAAAAAGCAAGTTATCTAAATATAAATAAATAAATAAATAATTGAATTAAAAAATTAAAATGAAAGATTTTTTTTCCCTGAAAGTTTGGGCCAAAAATGTGGGTGCACAGTATACATGGGAGCACATTATACATGGTGAAATACAGTAAATCTATGTGGTGGCATATTTTACAGTATATTGTGTCAGTTAAACATACTCTCCATACACCAGCATATAAGAGCAGGTAGTATCTACTTTTTAAAAGGGAATAGCATTATGATTTGGAGGTGTATATCATGAAACAGAGCCTACTTCAAGAGAACTGTATCACACTAATCACAACTGAGAAAGAATGGCATGAAGCAGATAGCGTTTTGTAGGGAAGGTGACATTTATTGGGAAAACTGTAGAATTGCCTCTAATTCCACTATCTAAATAGAGATAACCATTAGTAACATTTGGTACGCACATCCTTCTATTTTTTTCCTGTGCTTGATTTTGTACATATGCTATTTTTCTTTCCATGAAATAGTATTAAGCTGTATATACTGTTTTGTATCTTGATATTTCATATAGAAGTATATTGTTAACATTTTCCCATGTCAATAAATATTATTCTGTGGCTTAATTTTTTATGGCTACATCATATTCTGTCTTCTGGGTATATCATAATGTACTAATTGCTACTGGTCTCCAATTTTTATGTTTTTTCCAATTTTTCACTATTATAAACAACTTTGAAAAATCATTATATGCAGATTTTGATATATTATCTCTAGGAAAAATTCCTAGAAGTGGAATTAATTGTTTTAGCCAAATTATTCTGTAGAACCAGCCTATCAGCTGTACTCTTATCTGCATTGTGTTAGAATATACTTAGAATACTAATCAAAGATGTGGAAAAATAGGAAGTCTGGTAGGTGAGAGTAATACTTTTTTTAATTGATGTTTTCTGTTTTTAACTAACTCTATACTCACAGAAAGTTATAGAAATATTCAGCTTTTCCTAATCATAACATCTTACATAACTGCAGTATACTTATCAAAACCAAGGAATGCATTCTGGATGCACATTCTTTGGTCCATGTGTGATTTTCATATATTTTCTCCCAGTTTGTAGCCTTTCAAATTCTCTTAACTGGTTTTTGTACAGTAAAAGTATTTAACTTTTTTGAGAAGTAGTTTATCTTTTTTGGGAGTTCAGAGATCATGATTTTACTGTAATGTCTAAGGACTCTGCCTAACCCCAGCTCATGAAGATTTTCACCTGTTTTCTCTTTTTAAAGTTTTAGAGTTTGAAGTTTTTATTTTAGATCCATTATCTATTTCCACTTAATTTTTGTATGTGTGAGATTCAAGTTGAACTTCATTTTTTTTATATGGATGTTTTAAACCAAGCTTCTTATTACACATTTTCATGAAATAAACAGTTGTAAAACCAGCACCTAGTTTGAAAAAAAAACATAAAACATGGTACCACCACCCACAGTCAATCCTTCTTGCGCCTCATCCAGTCAGTTAGCTGTTCTCTCCCCAGTTTCTGACACGAGAATTAATTTGGTCTGTTCTGACTTTTATAGAAGTGCAAACACACAGTATGTACCCTGGTTGGGGCTTGTTTTGTCCCAACATTTTGTGAGCTGCATTTGGTTTGTTGCATGTGGCAGTTGTTATCACCTCAAAGAGTATTCCATTGAATGGACTTGGCAATTTATCAATTCTGATTATGGATATTTGGATTTCCAGTTTGAGGCTATCACAATTAGTATTGCTATGAATTTTCTTGTATGTAGCTTCTGGTCAACATACACACATTTCTAACATGTACAGACCTAGAAATGGATTTGTTAAGTCATAGGATACATATTTGTGGAGTTTAGTGTGTACTGCCCAATGGTGTGCTCATAAATTTTAAACAACTGGCTCTGGGGTGTGTGTTAACTGATACGTAACGTTTGAGAGTTCTTGTGGTCTAAACACTCCTGTCCAATTTCAAGCTACCAATGTGAAATCAGCCAGCTCACAAAATTCCTTGAGATTTACCAGGTACTTCTTGTGAGCTCTAGTACCCATCAATCATACTGCCAAGCAGGTTTCCAGACTAGTTACAACTACTTACAATCCCACCAGTGGATGAGAGTTCCAGTGGCTGCATGTCCACATTTGGTATCACCTGACTCATTTTAATTGTGCATCCCTTTGTGGTTTGTAGTGGCATCCCTTTGTGGTTTCAAGGTATGTTTTTCCCTGATGACCTAATGAAATTGAACACCTTCGGTTACTACATTTTGTACCCGAAGTGTCTGAATGATCTGGTAATGACACATCCCTTCCTCCTGCCACCCCTGCTTCCAGGAATGGACCTGTGGAGGTTTCTTATCAGGATCGATTTTGATTCAGACCCAAGAATAACATTGCCATTTTGCATATCCGAGCACCTAGTCTGTGAATTTCAGCACTTCATCACCATTCCCCTGGATACTATGTGAATTTCTAGGAAACTTAATCTTTTTTGCTATTAGTTTCCTAATTTGTAAAAATGTGAATGAAACATCCTCTCTGAAATATTATGGAGGTTAAAATGAGGTGCCTTCCATCTGAGAAGTGCTTAGTAAAGCCATCAAATAGATCTTATCTTTGCTTGTACAGGAGAACTTTCCTACCTCTTAGTGAAGATAGGCCGTTTCTGAGGATTTTAATGGGACCTAGAATTTTACGTTGGCATTAAGGTTACCAGGTTCTTAGGCTCTAGGTATAGCCTGGCAGCTTGGAGCTGGGTCTCAAGTCTGTCAGGTTTGAATTGCCTGCATTTTGCAAGCTTTGCAAGCAGGGACAAGTGATCTAGTTTCTCTGTTTTTAGCTTTGAAAAGCTTATGAAGAGCTAAGCAGGCCATGGGTTGATATGGAGACTGCTTCATTATGGAGATGCAATGGAGAACTCTGAATCTAGTCAAAGAGTATGGAGCAAGGGTTGGCAGACTTTTCTGTAAACAGCCAAATAATATATATTTTATATTTGTGAGCCATCTCTGTCAGAGCCACTCAATTTACTGTGTGAAAGTTGTCGTAGACAATACGTACACTTACAATAGCATAGGTGGGTTCCAATAAAACAATGGATACTGAGATTTGAATTTCATGTACTTCTATGTGTCATGAAATACTATTTTATTTTTTTCAACTGTGTAAATATGTATTTAAAAAATCACTCTTCCTGTGTATCTCCTCTACTTTCAAAAACTCACAGAATATGTCAATTCTAACACTAGATGTGTAGGCTTTCCACACATCAAGTAATTTTTTTGAAACCAGCTTGGTGTCTTACAATTCAATTCAGTTCTAACACTATATACTTGGAGATAGCATTTGATCCCCTAGGTAAGGTCTTGGTCCTATGGGTGTGCCCCTTGCCCCCATTTCAGGCGTCAGTGGCAAGTTCAGGTTATAACCTGTGCTGAGACCAACTGGCTTTAGATCGGAGGTTCCCAGGACTGCCTCCTCCAGTTGATTGATTTGCTATAGTGGCTCAAAGAACTCAGGGAAACATATTTCTAGATCACTGGTTTATTATTAAAGGAAACAGCCTGATGGAAGAGATGCCTGGGGTGAGGTATGTGGGAAGGGGCATGGAGCTTCCATGCTCTCTGGGCTTGCCACCTGCCCTGCATCTCCATGTGTTCACCACCACGGAGGCTCTGCAAACCCCATTCTTTTGGGGTTTTATGGAGGCTTTATTAAAATATGTAGGCATGATCGTTTAAATCGTTGGGCACTGGTGATTGAGTCAACCCCCCAGGCCCTCCCGTCTCCCGAGGTGGAGTGGGACTGAAAGTTTCAATCAAATAATCACATATTTGGTTCCCCTGGCAACTACCCCCATCCCTGGGGCATTTCCAAAAGTCACTGCATTAACCTAAATTCAGGTGTGGTTGAAAGGGGCTTATGAATAAAAAGACGCACCTTTTACCTTTATGGGTGTGGAGCTGTTTCAGGAACTAGTGACAAAAGACCGAATATTATGACAAAAGATGCTCCCAGTGCTCTTACCACTTTGGACATTGCTAGGGTTCTAGGGGTTCTGTTCTAGAAATGGGGACAAAGACCAAATATATATTTCCAATTACAAATCACAATATCACAATGTATAAAAACCATTCTTAGCTCAGGGACCAAACCATGGTCTGTGAACCACAGTTGGCCAACCCCTGGTGGAGACCAGGTAGAAAGAGAGAGACAAATTAAAAAGCGTAATGCTAGTTTATAGGAGTTTGGTTTCTGAGCCTAGGGAAGACTCCCCCCCTCCCTCCCCCCCATTTAGCCCAGGTTTAAAGTTGTATACTGGTAGAGGAATAATAAAGTTAATTTTTATACATGGATCCCCAAAAGGAGCTGCCCCCATGGTCTGGCTCACATCACCAATCTAAACCTGAATCAGCCTGCATCAGTGGGAAACA